CACATCTGGGAGCAGGACAGATTGGTCACTGACCCCACCGAACCCCCATCCTGGTCCTGGAAAGGGCTTTGCCTTGGGTGGGTGCCCCAGCGCCACTCTGGCCCCACGTTCCCCCTGAAAAGCTTCACTGCTGCATCCTCTCAGCCCATTCCAAGCATTCACACAGCTTTTCCATGGGGAATATCTTCCCTATGGAGCGACGGGGTCCTGGCCCTGGGCTCTGGCAGCACAATGCCCGTGGGAAGGAGGCAGGAAGCAGGCAGCGCTCGGCAGGACCAGCGCAGTTTCCAGCTGGGTGTTTTGGGAACCGGTGAGTCAGTGACACCCCCTGGCCTTGGGCTGTGCTCGGTCATTCCCAGGAAGCGGGTTTTCCACGGAGGAGGATGCTGAGTCCCAACTGCTTCCCAGTTACCGATGATGCTCCTTGTGTGTGGGCCTGGAGGAGGAGGCAGGAAGCAGGCAGCGCTCGGCAGGACCAGCGCAGTTTCCAGCTGGGTGTTTTGGGAACCGGTGAGTCAGTGACACCCCCTGGCCTTGGGCTGTGCTCGGTCATTCCCAGGAAGCGGGTTTTCCACGGAGGAGGATGCTGAGTCCCAACTGCTTCCCAGTTACCGATGATGCTCCTTGTGTGTGGGCCTGGAGGAGCCGCAGCCGCTGGCTCAGCTCTGATTCACTGCCCTGACACACCATAAAACCCTCTTGGCATGCGAGGGAGCCCACAGCTGCCTCCAAGACATCCCTCTGGGCTCCGAACCCCTCTGGAGAGCCCCTGTGAGCCCCTGTGCAGAGGAGGAATGCAGAGGAACATCACAAAGTCTCTAATCCTGTAGGAGATGGCATTTCGGTTTTGTTGCTTTAGAAGTGTCTCGGTACCTTGACATCCCTTGCGAGTGGTGGCTTCTTACTACTTACTTACTTACAAGTACTTGCTGCTGAGTGGGGATGACTCCACTGCGTGCCACAGCAGAGCATCGTCACACTGAGCCCCAGGCACCAGCTTGGTGTAAGGCTCAGTGGAAAGAAGGGATTATTCTGGGCTGTGTGTTAAGATTCTGGTCATAGCCTAACTTTTGGGTTTTAGCAAAGATAGATGGCAACTGTGCCATCTCCTGTTGGCTGCAGTGTTTCGGAGGCTTTTCTTCTCATAAATAGCCCTGTCTATCACTGCAAAGTGATACTGGGGCATCGTTTTGCTGCATGTGAGGCATCCATGCTTTGAAAGCCCAAAACAGCTCTTTTCCGTGAAAGCCACACATAAATCTCACCTCTTTATAGCTCTTCGCTCCCATTTAACACAGCTCAGAGCAGAGGTTTTCTTTGTGCAGCCACAGATGAAATACGCTTCCTATGTCCCTTTTTCCATGAGGATCCTTGTGCCCTGCCCAGTGCTCAGGTGCTTGTCCAGGAGTATCCAAGGTGCACCCGTGGTGCTGAGCGCCTGTTTGCGAAGGTGAGCCTGTACCTGGGGCTGAAACAGATCCATGGTTCAGCTGAACAGTCAATTTTTAACTTGCCCCATTGCTCAGTGGCGTGGAAGGGAAACTTGCCCCGGAGGTGTTGCCACGGACTGGAGCACCCTGTCCCCAGCACACAAACACAGCCATGTGAAGGCTGTCCCGGTTCCGTTCTGGACTCTGCTCATGTTGTCTGTGTTTGATTTCACCACAAGGTCACAGCACTGGGGAGCAGCCCCATCTCCTCCTGAACACGACGGGGAGGCTGAGTGGGACCCTTGACTTGTTCCAACCCCCTCTTCCCATCGGCAGGATGGTTGGAAGAGTGGCTTTTTGGAGCGATGGAGACGGGTGTTTGGTGGGGGCACAGACTGCGGGATCTTCGCATTGACTGCTCTGACCCCCCTCTGCTCTGGGCACCCCACACGCTGCTCCCCACCTTCCCTAGAGCTTGTGTGGAAAAGGCTCATGTCCTGGTTTTCTGGGGCTCTCCCCATGTCCCTGCAAGCTGGGGGTGAGCAGCCACTATCACCGCGGCTCTCCTGCTGATGGCAGAGCATTGGAGAAGTGAGATATAATTAGCTATCCAGACGCACGTTCCTCAGGATGCCGGCACACAGGGACACCCAGTGCAGCCAGTTTGACTCATAGAGAAGAATTAATGGAAACGCCCGGCTCCTGGAGGGAGGAAATTCCTTGAACAGCCTTTTCCTCTGTTTGTTGGTGGTGAGGCTGACAATAGGCTGTCCCGGGAATGCCGCACGCGCGCTGCCAGACGCCGAGTCTGCGGCACCGGGTGCTCCGGAAGGGCCCAGCCCCACCGGGTGACCTGCGCCTCTCCCGCATGGATCGTGTCAGGATCACACAGCAAAGCACCAGCAAAGCACCGCTCGGGATGCGGTGAGCGCCGGCTCGGAGCCACCCATTGTGCAGCCCCGGAGAGCAGCCGCAGAGGGGCCGGTGATGGGTGATGGTTGGGTGTCTGTACCTCAGACTCTCATTGACAACAGTTTTATACCAATTAATTGTGATTTCTCTCAAGCCATTGCGTGGTTCACACAACACAAACGTGCCAAACCAGCACACACAAGGAAAACTGCCCTTTCCCACTATAAAAATCCCAGCAACATCTTTTTTGTAATTAAATGGCCTTTATTCATCAGGGATGCCACTTGGAATAATGATTTCAGTGTAATGAGACAAGAGGGACTCTAAAGTCACAGGCTCTTATCAATCAGGTTATGCAGATGCTTGGGAGCAGGAATATCTAGGTGCTCATAGGACATGCTTCCACCGGAGCTGCTTTCAGCCTGCTGCAGGCTTCCTTCGGATTCATTTTCTACATGGAAAAGGCCCCTGCAGTGTCACCAGCATCCTCGTGTGTGTCCCATTGTCAGCCTTTCTCCCCAAACTGGGACACTATCCCACAGCAGCCCTGTGGAAAGCTCCATGGTTCAAGGCAGGGGATGGGATGAGGAAAATTCCAGCAGCAGAGTCGGGGATGTGGGAAGCAGTGGGACAGCACAAAGCGAATTTGGTACCCACGGCGGGGGTTCTGAGAGCGTCTGCTTGCAGCAGGCATGTTGGGATCCCGTCTATAGCACAGCCCAGAGGCAGATGGATTCAGTGGCTGCATCACCCTGCTGGGTTCTATTTTGAGTGTTCGTCACACAAGAAACGGCTCTGATGGGAAAACCTGCTGGAGCAGGAGGAAAGACGTTGCATCCCAAATGCCTGCGGCGGCTGAGTGGAGGCTCATTTGGCCTTTTTTGGGAACAGCCCATTTGAGGCAGTTTGTGTCACTGGGGATGGTTTCGTGGGGACGTGTCATGAGCAAGTGAAACAGCTGCAGCCAAGCGCGGGACAGGTCGAATGCCGGAAAACTGGAGCGAATCCCACGCTGAAGCAGATTCCTCTGAGCAAGGACACTTCTGGAAAGCCTTTGGAGGCGCTTCCAGAAATGTCCATCCCAAACCAGGCATGATCCCAGCTCTTATTATCCCGGGAGCCACTACTCCCTGCTCAGAGAGGTCTCTGCAGCTGATGTGGAGGGGACATCATTGCATTCCCCAGCCTGGTGATCTCAGGGATGCTGGGGTATCCTTCCCCACGCTATGAACACTGACAGTTATCTATGTGATTAAGTAATTGGAAGGATTACTTCTGGTCTCTGTGACTTCCAGGCAACTAGGAGTTTTTACCAAGAGCTGGTCCCTCATTCTTCCGAATTGTTTTATCTGTGTTGCTCTGAGCAGAGTCATGGGAATGTTTTTTTCTATCCCAGTGGGTTATTAGAGGACATGCTTATAAATAACCAGTCTTGGCTATTTTTAAGTATTTTCAACATAGTCTATCACAATAGCGTGGTACAACCTGCAGAAAAACCGAGTCCAGCTCTGCTGCCAAGTGTTCTTAACTCGCTTCTGTTTCTTTGGAGCCAAGTCTTAGCTCTCAGTCTGTGCTGCAGGAACACTAAGAGCCTGGAGAACCGCTCACTGTGGCTCGGGACTGGTTGTTCTCTAATGTGATTCTCCTGTCACGCTATTGCAATAGATGTCATTGTCCTGGATTACACAGGGAAAACGAAATTTACAGCTAAATTTGCTGAGGTCTTTCAAGGGACCATGGGTCAGACTCCGGTGCTGCTGATCAGGCTGCACCAGAGACTGGGGCCTGCGGGCTCAGAGAGCAGCGTGTAAAGACTTGGGGAGTCAAGGAGAGGTGCATGTTGTCTGCTCTGTATGAAATGACCCAAAACCTATAACCCCACTCCTCCAGCAGAATTGAGCATTTCAGACAAGCGAGTTGAGATTTACTTTATAATTTATTACATTTCACGTTGCTGTAAGCAATAAATTATAGTCAATATAATAATGTTGTCACAAAACATTACCATGAAGTACTCGCCTAACAGATACTGTAGTCTACACACATAAGAACTGTAGTTTCGCTATTTAGATTCTCAGTGTTAATGGGAAGTGAACAAAATATTAAGGAACTTCACAGTAAATTCAGGGAAACACATCATTATTATTGCTTCTGTGCAAATATTTCTGCTGCTGGAGAAAGAGAAGGATCAGATGCTCAGTGTGTCTCTAGAGCAAACACGTTCCCTGAGGGACATGCTGCACCCATCCAGTGCACCGAGTGCGTGTCAACAAATGCAGCGTGATCCATGATCAGCGGCTGATGGGTCTCCAGAACCTCCCTCCCAGCTCTGCCAGGGCTCAGCCATTAAGGAAACCAGTTTGGAAAGGCGAAAGCTGGTAAACACCGAGTCCATGGGAAGGTCTTGAGTCGCACCCAGCTGTGCGGGATGGGTCAGGACCATCGTGCGGGATCAGGCGGTGTCCCACGGCTGCCTCCCGCTGGGAGCTGCCATCCCTTTCGAGCCCGTGGGACCATCCGCATCGCTGCTGCTGCGTGCGCAGTGGCTGCAGCCCTGCTGTCACATCCCCTGCCCCGCAGCAGCTCGTGTGTGTGGTAGGAGCTCACAAACAGTCCCGTCCCGAGGCGTTCTCCTCCATTTCTGCTCCCACTGCCAGCTCAGTGGACTTTAAGGGAGTACTTCCGAAACGTCAGGAACTGGAGCAGCTTGTCTTTCCTCCGCTGCTTTAGCGCCATTAGCGCTCTCGTTTTCTCCTCCAAGTCCTGGTCGGTGGCGAGGATGATCTTGGCTCTTTCCTCTGCCTTCTTGTCCCCGGAGTTCCTGAAGAGTTTCTGCAGGGACTCTTGGTTGACGCTTTCGAAGATGTTGGCCGCGGCTTTCTTGCGCAGGGCTGTGTCGAAGCGGTACCCGTGGACCGAGGGGCTCACGCGCAGGGATGTGGACATGGCTGCGGCTCTGGAGCTTCTCTTCGCTTTCATCTACGTGGGGTGCAGCCGGGTTTGCTCCCGGTTGGGTCGCTCGGTGGATCTGAGCCGTGCTGGCTCCCGGGACCTGTATTTAAAGGCAGCAGGAGGAAAAAGCCCGAGGCTCAAGTTACAGCGATGAGCTCACACTGATGTCAACACCGGAGAGTCAGAGGCGAGTTTAACAGTTGAATTGCCAACTTCCCGCCGTCCTGCAGCCGAGGGGAAAACACTTCTCCGGGAGTGCTTCTGCAATGGGAACGGTTTTCCTTTGACCCGCTGCAGAGCAGGTTCTGTTCAGCTTCAAACACCGCTGAGGGGCTGCGAGCTCTGCTCCTGGCCCTTTGAATGCATCATGAACAGTTGAAACTACGGCAGTACCAGCAAGAGGCGACAGCGTGAGCCGGTGCTTGCAGATGGACACTTGTCTGTGTCTCTGTCCACACAGCAAAACAAAACCTGCTTAGGCCCGGGCACAGGATGCTTTCTGCCGCTTCCCAGATGATACAGCTCCTGTTTAGTTCCTTGCCTGGTCGGCAAGGGGTGTATTGAAGGCAGTGGATCCACAGTGTCCTCTGAGGTGACTTCCCAGGATGTTACATCCCACATGGCCACGCTCTCCCTGGGGTAAATCTCTCTGCACCAAGCAATCTGTTGCCCCGCTCCTGCCTTGGGTACCCACTGTCTTCAGTTTCCAGCTCACTGATGCAGTTCCTCTGCTCCCATAGAGTTTGTTCTGTCTACACCACCCTTGACGAGCGCCAAGCCCTTGGGCTGGGTGTATCACTCTTACTCACATGCATTAGTTTTAGGTGTTGGACTCAATGGTCCTTATGGGTCCCTTCCAACCCGAGATCTCCTGTGGTTCCATGACTCCCTCTCACTGGGGATATGGACCACTGCAACTCCTGCTGGATTTAGGAATCTGGTATTACTGAGCACAACTAGATCTGGCCCAGAAGAGCAGTGGGCTCAAAAGCCCCTTGAGGCCAGGGAGCTGCAGATAAGTGTATTTTGGTTGATGGCTTAAAAGCAGCCGGATGCTGCAGAGGCTCTGTTTGGAAAACCGGCTGCTTGTTTACTGGTGGTGTTGGTGACCCTGTTACTCATCCTCACCGAGGAACTCCAGAAATAGGCTCTGTCCCCACAGCCCAGGGGATTCCCTTCTATACAGGGAACTGTGGGGTAATCTCTGACCACAATGATGAGCAGACCCCAAGTAACATCACCCAGTTGGTGGAATGTCTTTTGTTTGTGCTGGCTGTTACGTGCTTTGATGTATAAACAACTCCTTTGCAAACCCCTGTGATTGTCCTTCTGCCAGAAAGGCTTAAAAGCCTCTCAGTTTGCTGTAGTCTTGCCGAATTTGTGAGAATTACACATCAGTTGCTGTTTGCTCAGTATTTGCTGGGCTGGTAAATCCACCCAGAAAATGGGATCGTTTTGATGTGGCTCTGTGAAAGAGACTCATGTTTTACAGCCTCTGGTTAACCCGAAATACAAGGGGGAACAGTAGGAAGGGTGCTCACTGTGATCCTCTCCTGCAAAGTGCTGCCTGGAGCGCTGTGGGAAGGGAAGACCTGCCTGTAAAAGTAGCTGCTGAAATGCTGGATGTACTTTGCTTCACTGGGCAGATAATGCCTTTTCTGAGTATTTAGGGCAAAAAATAATGCCAGAAGATGGCCCTCAGAGCAGCTTCCAGTGTCTGAAGGGGCCTACAAGGATGCTGGAAAGGGGCTCTGCATCAGGGACTGGAGCAAAAGGACAAGGGGTGATGAGTTTAAACTGAAACAGGGGAAGTTCAGGTTGGAGATAAGGAAGAAGTTCTTCCCTGTGAGGGTGCTGAGGCGCTGGCACAGGGTGCCCAGAGAAGCTGTGGCTGCCCCATCCCCGGCAGTGTTCAAGGCCAGGTTGCACAGAGCTTTGGGCAAAATGGTCTAGCATGAGGTGTCCCTGCCCGTGGCAGGAGGTTGGAACTGGATGATCTCAAGGTCCTTTCCAACCCAAACCATTCTGTGATTCTATGATTCTAAGATCAGCCCTGATCATGCGGCTGTAGGAAACGAGTCCTTCTTTGTTTCCCCTGGTTGAAAGCAAGAGCTGAGGCACGTTAACAGCGCCTGGTTCCCACCGCTCCCACTGCACATGGAATCGTTCTGCAGGTATTTGCAGAGGGAGGCATGGCTGAGAGCATAAATTAGCAATATTTGTGGAAGACACAAGCTCAGAAAAGGATCTGCCATGGAAACCGAGCCGAAAGCCGATGCTTTAGGAGTAAGACATCAGAAAGCTGCCAAGATGAAGCATGCGTGTTCTCGTGAGCTCATCTCGCACCGAGCAGTGACAAATGTCTTTGCCCCTTCAAGCTTCTCTGCCCACTTTGTATAAATTTAGTTGTGCTCAACTCTGACTGAGAGATGAAGCATCCCTCATCTGGGTTTTTTCCAGTAATTTTTGTTTATATCGGTCTTTTAATGCTGCTTTTCCAGTAATGCCCAAGAGGAATTATTCATGTGTTGGACTGGAGCGAAACTTCAGAGAAGATGCGATTTCTATCACAGCTCTCCTGCTATTAGTGTAAAATTGCTTTGTGAAATGCAAACGCTCCGTTTCACACATTAATGGGAGGATTAATTCCTACCCACACCATCTCTGCAGAGCAGCTCAGCCCCATCCCTAACTGCGCTCTGCCTCTCATGATGTGATGGGCTTGGAGCGCTTCAGGGTCTGAAGCTGAAGCACTTGTGATTTACCGTAGGAGAAGCCAAGCCTCAGGGTCTTAATCAGAGCAGGCAGTTGCTGGGGGGAAGATTCAGGGAGGATGGTGGCTCCGCAGCCAGTGTGTGCTGTGCTGGTGATGCAAAGGGTGGTTAAATAGACCTGGAGGCATCTCCGGCGCAGTGCTGTGGACTGAAGGACCCCACCTGCACCACTGTAGGAGAGGGGAAGGTAAAGCAGGGTCCTCAGCAGGTCAAACGCCATGTGAGGGTGTTTTGAAGCCCCCAGCCCTGAGAGCAGGAGGTGGAGGGAAAGCCGGGGCAGGCAGTGCCTTTCCCGCAAACTCTTGCAGAGAACATAGTCTGCATTCATGTAACTGTCCAAAATCACTCCAAAGAAGGTAATTCGGGATGTCTTTGCATTTTGCTGGGGCATGTTTTGCATAACTTTCCTTTCATTAGCCTGCCTAAGCCTGCCCGGCTTGTAATACCACGTTGGCATGAGGAGATGCAGCAGTTCTCTAGGAGAGCATCAGTGCTACGGAGACCTACCCAGCTGTGTGTGAAAGAGCCTAAAACTGAGTCTTTGGAAGAGCATCTGGAAGGCTTTGAAACAGGAAAAAGAAGTTAAATTATTGCCTCTCTCTCTTTAGATATATATATATATAATGTGCTTTAGCTCTTTAGCTCTGAAATGCCCAGGAGCCTCAGGCCACCTCTTCTCTTCCCATCCTTTCCCCTGCTCTGTGGACTCTGGCTCACTCGCAGCCTTCATTTCTTCCACTGGCTGTGCTGGAGCATCCCTGCCCTTCTTGGGAGCAGAAATGCTGCTCCCCATGTCTGCTCTCTGCTGGGATGGAGTGCTCTGCGGGGTGGCTATAAGGTCAAAGAGGAACTAATTCATCGTGTTCCTCTTGGACTCCAAATTCCTGGGAACTTTGCAGGCACCCAGGTGGTGCGAATGACAGTGCTGGCCCCGGCTCCCCATCCTGCCCACTGTGTCTCGTGTGCTTCTGTCTGCACAGACTCCACCTGGGGTTTTGGTTTGGTTTTCTGTGGTTGTTCTTTAACAGAGCATCTGGGAACACTTGTTCCCCGTCTCATGGCAGGAAGCTGTGCCCTTTGCTTGCACAACCCCAGAGCTTAACTCAGCCACGTGTGTGCTCCCTGTGACTTGTCCTGTGGTCCCTACTTCAGATGTGCTGTACAGTGGGATGTGGTTTAATGGCAGCTCTGCTGCAGCTCAGTTCCTGGAAAGTAAAGGCATTTCTCAGACCATCCTGCTCCCGTGGCTACCTGCCTAAAAACCAGACAACAGAAGACACGATTCAGCTGCTTAAATTCCGTCGGGAAGGGTTCTAATAGGGAGAAAAATGTGTACCATGCCTATTGAATACTTTTCTTTCTCCTACCTATGAAAACTAAATGAGGTGCTGGCTTCTGGGCTGCCAAGACAGGTATTGTTGTATCAATCAGGTGTGTTCTGCACAGCATTAAATCTGCGTTTCAGCCTCCTGCGAGCAAGAGCAGCTTTTATCACCTCCTGATAGGTCACTCTCCATAGGGCTCCTTCTACCCTGTGTGCATCTCCTTCACCATAACCTGTGCATCCATTCTGCTGACATAAGGGATAACCCAGCAACAGCCAAGCTGCTCCTACACTGGTGCCATGGGGACTGGTGCCACGCACAAGGTAAACTAAATAAGAGCCTTTCATGGTGTCGATGCAGTAAGAGCTGGTTGGAGGTGTCAGGGGTGCAGAACAGAGTCTTCCCCCTCGCTGATCCTGCTGTGGCTTTTTGGTGGCCCTGTGGCCAGCTCTGCCCGTGGCTGGTGACACCAGGGGTGCAGTTTGGACTGGCTTCAGCTGACTGTGCCAGGGCAGCACCGCGATCACGTTGGAGCTGTGTGAGCACCGCAGGAGCTTAGCATCGTGCTGTGCACGGACACCATATAAGAGTAAAGTTTGTGGTGTTACTGATAATGAATGTCTCCTCGTTTCTCATAAATTCTCTGCTAAATGTACGATCACCAAGTTAATAATGCAGTGCAGGACATAATGAATAGCCAGTTACAGTAAGTAAATCAGGCTTCTGGAGAAACAGAAACTTCTGGCACTTTTAAGAGGCAGAACCCTTTTAAAGAAGCCCTGCACTGAGGACACGTTGACTTCTGGCATGAAACCCTCACTGCCGGGGGGCTGGGAAGGCTGGGGGTGGTGTGTGTACTGGGATGCAGGCAGTGGCAGTAAAAGATGCTCTTGAACACAGGGTAAAGGCAGGGGTTTGCCAGCTGAGC